AATTATCCAGTTCACACCTAGAGGTTTTATCCAACTATCTCTTGCCTTGTTAAGCAAATCACGGTTGAACAGACAGTGTTGAAGGGTGTCTGTTTGGCCAGAACCACATTGGCACAATCGCCCAGGCTTAAGCATCCCACTAGCTCCTTCATAATGTAGCTATCCTAGATATAGCTAACCTCCGGCAAACATCTTCCTACCACCAGGTATCCCCTTGGGGTATGTCGAACGATAGCCCCACCCACTGTTGGTTACTGTATCTAATCCTGATCCTCTTCATCGGGTAGGTTTATGTTCCAAAAGAAGTTGATTAGATTTAGGGGACCGATGACCACAGAGAGAGTGTTGTGTCCACTGACCGCCACCGGAGGTCAGCACACACGCCTGAGCTTCAGTCCTGGACACCAATGGGGACTAGGATCCAGTCCCTCCACTGGGGGAACCAATGGGACCGTGGCGGGAGATTCAAACCCGCCAATAGGACCCAGGGGTGTGCCCCTGGCTGTGTATATAGTTGGCCTGCCGGCCGTTTGTCCCCTGTCTTGTTGTGTACCTAATAAAGCGTGCTATGCACTACGTCGTCGTCTGTCGTCCTTCCATGCGGCAACCCACTACACAATAGAGAGGAAGGGTTTCTATCCCATAGGAAGTGGGGCACTTCAGCCCCCTGATTTTATAGGCACAAGAGCATCTAATGGATCAAGTGCAGATGAGGCCTGCTACCTACTGTGGTTTGCCAGCAGAAGTGGCAGGATTCAGCCCAAGTCCAAGACTACTTAATGCCAATGGAATTAGACTTACAGGGTTAGTACCAGTTGGCACATACAACAGAGTAGAAGTGTGTTGGTGGAAATTTTGAATGACAATTTCTTTTTCTTTTTTTAAAGGACACCATCATCTTTTTGGATTTGGGAGCATTCAGTATTGCCGCTCTTGTTTTCAATCTGGCTGTTACAAGCATTAAAGAATGACGTATATTCCATCTGGAATTCAGTAAACGTGGATGGATATTTTTTACTCAAACATTTCATTCCAAAACATATTTTGTTTACAAAATTATCCATGGGACAGAGAAGGTAGAGAAAGAAGTACTTTCCCCCCTTTCTCACTATACAAGAACTGGTGGGCACTCAATGAAATTAATGAGCAGTAAGCTTAGAACAGATAAAAGGAAGTCCTTCTTCATCCAAAGAGTAGTGTACAGGTGGAATTCACAGTTGCACAAAGTGGTGGCAGCTACAAGCATAGACAGTTTCAAGAGGGGATTGGAAAAACATATGAAGCAGAGGTCCATGAGTGGCTATTAGCCACAAGGTATAAATGGAACACTATGTCAAGGGCAGTGAGGCTCTGTATTCTTGGTGCTTGGGGGGAAACAGTGGGAGGGCTTCTGGAGTTCTGGCTCCACTGTGGAACCTCCTAATAGCACCTGGGTTTTGGCCACTGTGTGACACAGAGTGTTGGACTGGATGGGCCACTGGCCTGACCCAACATGACTTCTCTTATGTTCTTATGTTCTTACTGGTAAAATCACATGCAAGGAAAATTTTCCACCAAACAGGGCTTACCTGTGATCATACTTAGAGCTGATAAGCATGCTAAGGCTGGGATATCAAGGTTGAGGCTCTGTAAATTTAAGGAAAAGTCTTTAATGGAGTCGAGCCACTCCCCAAATCCACGAAGGCACTGAAGTCTATGAAGCACGAGTCCATTGCAGAAAACAAACTTATCTTCAGCAGTGTCAGACCTTGTATGAATTAAAAAGAAAAGAAAAGAAAGGATGCATGTTAGGGGTACAAGTTTGAGTTCCTGTGCATTAACTGCTGTTCAACACATACGATCTAAATTCAAGGACACTCTAGTACACGTGAATGCATCTAAGCTCTTTTGCAGAGCAACAATCAAGCAAGTGAGTTACGACTATGGTGTCTGCACAGTTCACGGCCAGAGAGGACATTTCGCATATGGCCGGAGAGAATGCATTTAGGCAAGAATTCATTTGCTGCTCAAAGAACACCAACAGCGAAATCCTAAATAGTTCTACCCCTGTAAGTACACTGACGCTAATGGAGTTAGAAAGGTGCAAGTGTGCTTAACATTGCAGTGAAGAATTTTTGGCAGACTAGGCGAGGATACCTTCTGCCCCCCCCCCCTTGCGCCCACCACTTTTCAAACAAGGATAAACACACAATCATGCAAAGGAGTCCCTGCTACCAAAAAAGGCCCTGGGTTTTGACAACAAACAAGGTCAACAGAATAAGAAGCAAAAGGTGGGTGTGGCTGGATGAGCACACTTCTGGTAACATGGGGGTGCGGCCTACTGTGCTAATGAGCTGTGCTGTCAGGGATGTGGCCTATTATGCTAATGAATTTCTGCTGTTGGGTGTGGCCTATTATGCTAATGAGTTCCTGCTGGGCTTTTTCTACAAAAAGAGCCCTGGGTAACTACACTGACGTTAATGGAGTTAGAAAGGTGCAAGTGTGCTTAACATTGCAGTGAAGAATTAGGACATTTGGTTATAAACACAGCAAAGATATAGACCATGGACCTCCGGAGGGGATGCAGGCAGTGGACTCGACATATTTCGTGGTGAAAAGTGCCGTCAAGTCACGGCTGGCTTTTGAAGACCCCATAGGGGGTTCAAGGCAAGAAACGAACAGAGGTGCTCTGCCATGGCCTGCCTCTGTGTAGTGGTCTGATCTCCCTTCTAAGGGCCAACCGGAGCCAACTTTGCTTCGCTTCTGAGATCTGACGAGCTCAGGCTAGCCTGGGCCGTCCAGGTCAGGAGCAAGACATATTTAGGGGTAAAGGTTCCCTTGCTCGGAAGCCAGTTGAGTCCGACTGTAGGGTTGCGGTGCTCATCTCCGTTTCAAAGCCGAAGAGCCAGCGCTGTCCGAAGACGTTTCCGTGGTCACGTGGCCGCCATGACTAAACACCGAGGCGCACGGAACGCTGTTACCTTCTCACCGAAGTGGTACCTATTTATCTACTTGCAATTTCTTGCTTTCGAACTGCTAGGTTGGCAGGAGCTGGGACCAGAGACGGGAGCTCACTCCGTCATGCGGCACACCCGGGTCTCGAACTGCTGAACTACCGACCTTCCACAGCCTGCAGTTCAGCGTCTTAACCACCTGAGCCACCGCAGCTCCACCCAACGTTAGTTTGAGGTTTGTTGACTGAAGGCAGTGATAGCCAGTGAGGGAATTTTTTAAAAAAAAATTTATATGAATCGGGAATCCAAGGGTGTCTAACAGCCTGGTTCAATGCATGTTTTTTTGGAAATAAATCCCACTTACATCAGTGGGCTTTCAGCTGGCCTGATCTCCTCAGACTGCGGAAGCTAAGCAGGGTTGGCCAAAAAGAAAGCCCAGGGTCGCCACACAGAGGCAGGCCCCTCTAAGCTGTGGAGCCTTGTGAGCAAAAATTCTACTTTATGAGCTACTGGCATTAAAGTTGTGAGCGTGCAATTCGGCTGTTGCATAAATTGGTTTGCTCTGGAGCCCTCCTTCCTGAGCCAAGACAAAAATCTGTGAGCCGGAGGCTAAAAAACGGTGAGCTAGCTCACACTAACTCAGCTTAGAGGGAACACTGGTCGAGAGCTGGGTTATTTTTTGCTCTGTTTTTTAAAATGGGCGAAAAGCATTCAGTCCTGCTCAATGTTCCCTCTAAGCTGTGGAGTCTTGTGAGCAAAAATTCTCCTTTGTGAGCTGCTGGCATTAAAGTTGTGAGCGAGTGATTTGGCTGCTGCATAAACTGGTTTGCTCTGGAGCCCTCCTTCCTGGGCGAAGACAAAAATATGCGATCCACAGGCTCACACTGACTCAGCTTAGAGGGAACACTGGTCCTGCTGATAGGACATGAAACAGACCCAATGCTCTCTCTGAGCTGTGGAGCCTTGTGAGCAAACATTCTACTTTGTATGCTACTGGCATTAAAGTCGCGAGCGAGTGATTTGGCTGCTGCATAAACTGGTTTGCTCTGGAGCCCTCCTTCCTGGGCGAAGACAAAAATATGCGATCCACAGGCTCACACTGACTCAGCTTAGAGGGAACACTGACCAGGACCATTTTTATGCTTTTGCCCCTGGGTACTGTACAAGTGGTTAAGACGCTGAACTGCAGGCTGTGGAAGGTCGGTAGTTCAGCAGTTCGAGACCCGGGTGTGCCGCATGACGGAGTGAGCTCCCGTCTCTAGTTCCAGCTCCTGCCAACCTAGCAGTTCGAAAGCAAGAAATTGCAAGTAGATAAATAGGTACCACTTCGGTGGGAAGGGAACACCATTCCATGCACCTTGATGTTTAGTCATGCTGGCCACATGACCACGGAAACGTCTTCGGACAGCGCTGGCTCTTCGGCTTTGAAACGGAGATGAGCACCGCAACCCTAGAGTCGGATTCGACTGGTTTTCGAGCAAGGGAAACCTTTACCTTTACCATTTTTACTTCTATGTTTGCTTCACCTGCCTCTGCACGCTTAAGTTAACAAACACACTGGGAAATTTTTTTTTTACAAAAGTCATCCTCAAGAAGAAACAGAAAAGAATCAAAACTTTTCGTTATCCACGATGGCCCAGGTGAGCCCAATCTCATCAGATCTCAGAAGCCAAGCAGGGTCGGCCGTGGTTAGTATTAGGATGGGAGACCCCCAAGGAAGCCCAGGATTGCTGCACAGAGGAGGAGGAGGAGAGGAGATTGGGTTTATATGCTGCCCTTCACTACCTAAAGGAGTCCAAGAGCCGCTCACAATCTCCTTTCCCTCCCCCTCCCCGCAACAGAGGTAGGTAGGGCTGAGAGAGCTCTTTTGAGAACAGCTTGTGAGAGAACAGCTCTGAAAGAACTTGTAACTGACCCAAGGTCACCGGCAGCTGCACATGGAGGCGTGGGGGAATCAAACCCAGTTTTCCAAGATTAGAGTCCGTGCTCCTAACCAGTACACCAACCAGGCAGGCAATGGCAAACCACCTCCATTCGTCTCATGCCGTGGAAAACCTACAGAGTCCCTTTAAGATGGCTTCCACTAGATAGCGCTTTCCACTGTCACCAATTACGCAGGGGAATTTCCCCCCAAGCTCTGTATTTTAGATCCTAATTAGGCCCCTGATAAGGCCGCCAGTTTCCAGGCCAGAGGTGCCCGTCACTATAGTAAGAAACCAAACAGAATTGATCTCCTTAGCTCCTTGTCAACTCTTGTTTTATGGTTGAGCGTGGCCCCCCAGTGTTTGATATCTGAACATTAAGAAGTCAGGTTCTCTTGCACAAATTGAATTGTTTTCTGAAACTTACCTGATGGACAGTCTCAGTACAAAAAGCTCCAAAAAAGCCGATTCGATGAGTAACGTTTGATCTTCTTTTGGGAGGTCCATAAATCCTGGGATTTTCTCCGCCCAGCTCCTGGAGATGTCAAGGGAGGCCGTGAGAAGGTTGTAGAACTGTTGGACATGTTCAGCATCGGTACCCGCAGCAGCCTGCTCGGTAGAACAGTACTGGGAGGAAAGCCATTCCAAAGAGAGAGAGAAATATATAGGATACATTTTAGGATGCTTCAACTGGTTTTTTGTTTTTTTTTAAACATTTGTCTTTGAGTTGAGATGGACGTTTCATGTAGACTGTAATTCTGAATTGTTTGATTTACTTTCCGCAGGGCCTGCAAGACGGAGCTCTTCCACCAGGCGTTCGACTAAGGAGCCGCATCATACACCGAGGAGTGTCCCTGTGCCTTGGCTTTACTTAATGCAGTGACTGCCAAGGTGGCACCTGGATGGAGGTTAGAGCTGCCAAGTGGGTGCGGGTGGTGGGTAAACTCCCGCTTTGGAGGCCCGATTTCCGCCGCCGCAGAATCGGGGCCCAGAGGTGACGCAACCACGTCAATCACATTGGGGGCGTGGCCCTGATCGTCGGAGGGAATACTCTATGGTTTTCCCTCCGATGATCGGGGCCACGGCCTCAACGTGATCGACGTCGCGCGTCACGTCCGTTGACGTGCTGGTGGCGCGTGTGTGCTTTGCGCGCGTGCACGATGAGGGATGGCTCCCGGAGCGTGGCAAGGCTCCCCCACCGGTGAGTAAACTTTACTTGGCAACCCTACTTTACCATCTTTACCTTCACCTCCAGCCTTGCCCTGGCCTACCACCGTTGTCTCTAGCCTGTGCCTGCCGCATAATAAGTGAGCGAACTGAGCTGGTATGAAAGTTATGGGAATCATACAGCTGGCCCCTAGCTAACATGCCCTCCCCCCGGCCCCCTAGTGTTTCTTCTGGGCCCCCTCCCTCCTGGGCTACTCCCAATGTGCTCCAACTTACCATCTGCACTGTACTTCCCTTTAATTAGCTGATGGGCCCCCCGAGGCCCCCTCCCAAAGAATTCCCTACCTACAGGGCTGTCATACAGTCACCTAAGCCATATTAGAAATAATGTTGCTTTTGTTTTATCTGATAATGTTACAGTGTTTTACCTGTGTTTTAGTGGATTGTTATTTGTAATATGTTTATATAGGTTTAACTGTATTTTTATGAAATGTTGTGTAAGCTGCCCTGAGCCCGTGTTCGCAGGGAGGGCAGGGTATAAACTGAATTAATCAAGCAATCAATCAATTTTTAAAATGTAACTTTTAAAATAATTTTGAACACGCTGTGATTGTTTGTGACTGTTATACTACGCTTCCGATACCACAATCTAGACAAACATTTTTAAAATAAGCAGCAAGGTTAGAAGAAATAAGGGCATAACTCCACACATCAAAAGTTACATTTGGCAGGTGCTCTGCCACCTTTCTGGGGCTGAAGTCCCGCCTCCCTTTGCCCCGGAACCTCTACCCCACATGGAAAGAAGTGACCCTTTGACCTATGTGACCCCTCTCTGTACATCAGTGGCCTTCCAGGACTGCAGCCCATTAGAAAGTTGCTCAGTTACCTGCCCTGTTACCTCCATTATTTACTATTCAAGTAACACGATTAGAAGAGGCAGCATGGCACAGCAGAAAGACTGTTGAGATTTGGACTGGGTACAGCTGGGTTCAGATCCCTGTCCCGCTGCAATGCTTACTGGGAGACCTTGGGTCAGTCACTATCTTTCAGCCTAACCTACCTCATGGGCAGTGTTCCCTCTAAGCTGAGTTAGTGTGAGCTAGCTCACTTTTTTTTAGCCTCCGGCACACACATTTTTGTCTTGGCTCAGGAAGGAGGGCCCCAGAGCAAACTAAGTTATGCAGTAGCCAAATCGCTTGCTCACAACTTTAATGCCAGTCGCTCACAAAGCAGGATTTTTGTTCACAAGACTCCACAGCTTAGAGGGAGCATCGCTCACAGGAGGCACCACCGCTTGATGCACACTGCTTTGATCTCTTTGAAAGGAAGGCAGTATAGAAACATAAACTTTTCAAAATGAAGTTATTTTCCCCATATTTATAAGTCAAAAATTTGCAAAAAACCCCCACGAATATGCATTTTAGGTCAAAGGTTATGTGCACGTGCTGATCATACGAATGCTGAAGTTTAGGCTAACCTGCTGCCACAGATGTCAAAGGTCAGTGTGGAATGATGCATATGTGACACGGAGCTCTTGCCTCAAACAGTATCCCTAGACCAGGTTCTTACCTCTCCCCAGGAATACACAGGCTCGGTTCACACGGAACACGAAATCATGGCTTGTTTGGACTACAGGCTAGCTTGTGCGACCAGGATTCTGCAGCTAGTCGCTGCAGACAATCACCAACCCTGTCTTCCCTCTAAAAATGCTGGTTTCGTTTCCTTCTTCCTGTATCCTGTAGCCTGGGAGGGTACCACTAGAGAGCAAGCCAGGATTAAATCAAGATTCAGCCAGGATGTCTGCATTCAGACACCACATGAAACTGTGATGCAAACTAGGTTAAACTAATTGTATACTATGGCTGCGGTCACACGGAGCATTAGCCACGCTACAGAGACGGAAGATAGGTGGATTTTCCGGGCGCGATCACACCGCCACATCTGGGAAACGTAGAGCTCCCGTGGCTCACCTGAGGCTTCCCGCCGAAGATGCGGGGTAAAAAACTAGTACCTCCGAGGTACTAGTTTCCAGAAACCGCGGGGCAAGGGCGGGCATCTGATCGCGTTTCCGGTGGCATCCGGCGCCCGCCCATGTCCCCTCGCAAAAAAGTTGCTTTCCCCCCCAAGTCTCCATGGGATGCGCACAAGTACCCAACGGAGCATGTGCACACTTCAGTTTAAAAAAAAAAACACAACCCCGTTTGCCGCCCCGCTTCTTTGCCTGTGGTGTGATTGGCACCTACCCCCTAACCACGGGACCTCGACGGGACCTCAACCGGACGTCTGATCGCGCAGCCGCGCGCTATTTTGCTCCGGGGCAAACAGCCACGCTTCCCCCCCACATTTTCCAGCCCGTGTGACCGGAGCCTATGAACTTTAAGCTAACTTCAGAATATAGCATCAGACCCTGTTCTGACAAACCCTAATGAACGACTGAATCAGAAGAAGTGTGCGAGCACAAGAAAGCGTATACCTTGAATAAAGCTTTGTTGGTCTTAAAGGTGCCACTGGACTCAAGCTTTGTCCTAATGAACCCTAGTTGGCGGAGTGGCCTGTATTCCGATAAACACACTGACTTAATTTAATTACACTTAATTTAATTAAACTGTGGTTTTGTGCGATGGCTGAACCAAACTACCAAGTCCCTGACCCTGTGTTGTGACATTGCCCCATCATGCTTTTTCCCACCTGACCCGGGAGCAGCTCATGACGTGGCGTGGGGAAGGGGGAATGCACAAAATGTGGTGCCATAACCGCAAAAAAGGTCTAAGATCCTACATGTTCAGGGAAGAGCACAGTACCGGGATGTCCCAGTTTAACAGCAGCCCCCTTTGCGGAACATTTCACATTCTACAGTCCTGTCCTAAGCAGAACAAAGTTTGAGTCTGATGGTGCCTTTAAGACCGACGTCCTCCTCCGGCACTCTGTAAAATGTCCACCCTCCCCCACCCCCAATAGCTACAGCTGTTGCTTGGAAGACGTGGAGAGCCCTCCACCATCCCCACCACCATCCCCACCAATACTACCAAGACTAGTTTGTAAAAAAAATAATAATTAAAATTCGATCTAAGGAAAACGTAATGGAGCTTGTACACTGATGGGAGGGAGGATAGTGAAAGTTGCTGAGTGGGAGGAACGACCTCTGTGGGGGCAGTGGGAGTGGACCCTGAGGGGCGGGGAAAGAGAGGGGGGAAATCCACAGGAATCTGTATGCTTTTGAATTACCTTCGGCTTTAGAAGTGAAGCAAGGGGGGAAATGGTCACAAAACCACTCTCAAAAAACACAGGGAAACAGCGACCAGAAAGCCAACTGAGTGCGGGGGGGGGGGATGAAAAATGCAGAACTCAAAAGGAAACCCAAAGGACATGCACGGTGAAAGCGAAAGACAACGCAGAACTCAAAAGAAAACCCGAAGGACATGCACGGTGAAAGTGAGGGAAAACACCCGGGCAGGAAAGCTCTTAGTGATCCCATTGCCGCCATTTTCCAGTGCGCCTCCAACATTGTTGATCAGACAATATTAAAAGGATGCGGGATAAATTCTAACATTTAATTAAGCGCAATGTTTTAGACAAATTAAGAAACTTCAGTGTAAAAGAATGCTCCCCAGGTCTCCTTTAACCTCCAGAGTGATTTCAGGGCTTGGATAAAGGACCCACACCCATTTATGATGGGGGGGAAAATGATCCTCATCCCTCAATCCACTCCTTACGTTTCTTTGCTATCCTGCAATATACCGACAACCCCTTCCCACTACCCCCTTTGAATGAATTGTGCTGAATTCCAACTTTTTAATAACCGGTCCTATTTCTGTCTTTTCTACCACCAAGGCATAAATCATAGCTGGCCAAACCTGATTATTAGCATATACGCAGTTACTGCTAAAGCTGGCCTATCCAAAGTGAACTTCGGTGTGAATTTGGAAGGTCGATTTTGATTATGCTTAATATAATTCATCTACAAACGTTTGTAGGGATTGCGTACCTCTAATTATTGGCATGTTGAGGGAGGCAAAAAGCGAACGTCAAAATTCCTCCTGTTCACTTTTTTTTAAAGAGATACCAAGCCCCCACCCCGAAACGTCCCCTGATTTTTCACCAGGAATGATATTTCTTGATGACTGCTTCGGCATACATTCTCTGGCACAACTCTCAGAGATGTGAATTGGTTCCACTCTAGGCCCAGACTCTGCAGTTGCTGTTGGTGAGATTCTTCACTCCAACTCAGCACGCTGAATCCTGGTTGGTTGTAGGCTTCCCAAGTCCCCCCGGGGGGCGGGGAAACCCCCGCCCCAAAGGCCCGTTCCCCACCACCGACGGATCGGGCCCCGGGGGGAACTCCACCCCCACGTGCACGTCACCTAGAAGTGATGCGGGTACGCCGGGCACGCTGGGGGCGGGGCCATGGTCATCTGAAGGAAAACTCTATGGTCCCCCGCTGCGGTAAGTTTCTGACTTGG